ACGATGTATACCTTGTCATATACAAATAAAATAAAGAAATGATGTTTACCTACTTAAAAAAAAAAAAATAAATAAAAAAATTAAATTTATATATTAATTAATTAATTCATTTTTTTTGTTAATATATGTTTTAAGTTTTATTTTATTATTATAATTTTTTATAACTTGATTATTTAATAATCAATTTTTTGAAATTCTTTATTTTTTTAAAAAATCTTAAATTAAAATCTTTTAAATTATAAATAATTTTTTTTAATTAAACAATAAATTTTATATAATATATAATTTTTTATATTTGTAACAATATTTGATTTTTTTTTTAATTATATTATATATATTATTATTATTAAGAGTAATAATAAGTTTAAAATATAATTATTTTTGAATTTTGCATAATAATTTTTAAATTATTTTATAAATTATTAATTTGATTTTTGATAAAATTTCAAGCTAATTTTTTTAAATTTAAGTAATAATATTATTTGAATTTGAATTTTAATCTAAGCCTATAATATTTGTATTTTTTAGAATAAATTTTATTTATTTATTAATAAGAAAACAAATATCTTTTCAATTGAAAGAAAATATTAACAAAAAAATACATCTTTTTTTTGATTTAATTTTAATAAATTTTTCATAACTAATGAAATTATAAATTGTTAAATAAGTTATAAAATTATAGTAATAATAATATAAATTATAATAATAAAAAAATAATTTAATTTTAATATTTGAAATAAGTATAAATTTTTAAGTTAATAATTTTTTAAAAAACTGTTATTCATTAACAATTGCGTTTATATTAATTATAATAATATATGGTAAATGGTTATCAATCATTGTTTTTATTTTATGACAAACAAAAAATATTTTATTAAGTTTTTCTTATTTTCTTATTTTAATAGCCTTTTGAACACAAAAGAAAATTAATTAATTAAGTTTTTTTAAGTTTTATTATTAAGAAAAAACTTAAATAAAATATTATATTTATTATTAATAAATACCGAGAATAGATATATTATGTATTTATTATCATCTTTTGCATTTAATATTGGTTTCGTTGATATTAGAAGGTGTTAAAATTACAAAAAAAGATGCTACAAAATCTATTATATAGTAACGGGAATACTTGATAATGATAATAATATCTGGAATTGTTGAATCCAAATAAAATTATCTGGATGATAACATAAGCTCATAGTAAGAATGGTACGTTGCCATGAATCAATTATTTTGAAATTTATCTAAATGAGAATGTGTAAATCTAAAAGTGTTAATATTTTTTTATATATAAAGTATAATCTATTGCTGATATATTCAATTGTTAAGAAGATAATATTCAGGTATTAAATTATTAATTACATTAAAAAAATTGATCATAAATAAGACAATATAAACTGAATCCTAGGTGCACATATTGCTTTGGCACGATCTTGTAAGATATTATAATTATAATCAATCAATTTGCCAATCCCCTAATGATTCATCAATATCTTTAAGCCTCAAAAACAAATCACATCCATGACTATAAAGTGACATAATGTTCAAAGACCCTCCAAAATATTGAGCATAAATACGAGCCAATGGGAGCCTAAAAAAAAAAAACGCGTTAAACTTAATAAAACTCCAACCGCTATATCACTCGAGCACAAAAATAATATTTAAAAATCAGACCCATATCCCAATCCAGCAATAGGACCACCAATACCAGTTTGCATTGCCATTCTAGAAACATCAGATAATATATTGTCTGTATCCGAATCATCTTGTGGCACGGTTGTAAAGGAATAATCAAATATTGACGGAAGATCTTTTGGAGCCACACCACCTCCTTGGTCTCTAACTCTAATTCCAATGTTATTGACACCTCGAGATATAGTGACCTCGATAGGTGGATGATTTTCCCTTTTGATCTTTGAACTGTGCTCAACAGTCGCTCTGTATGAATTCTTGAGTACTTCAGTGATAATATACTCAATATGCACGCTGACATAAGTACACGTTGTTTCTGTTTGACCGTTAATTATCACTTCAGGGGAAGAACCATAATGAGCATCACAAAGTTCCCGCACAATATTAGCACACGAATTGATCAGCTTTGCAGGATTCAGACGGGTATTTATGATTCCAATGTAGTTGGGATCATGCGCATTGTGCAGAGCTATATGCTGTTCCGCGATTAGACGTATAGCAATACGTGCTCTGATCATGTCATCAAGAAAATTCGTTATATCTTGTGACGACATGTATTTTTTGCATTCTTGAAAGCCTGTCGTAATTGCCAAAGGATAAGTGAGCTGCCATAACGATAATGTGATGACAAATAAAAAAAAAAATAAAACCTTTTGCTAATGTAGGAATATTATCGGTATGGGACGCAACCATTTTGGACAATAAGTCTGCAAAATTTTCATCTGCCTTCTCTTCGGTAATCTCGGGAAAATTGCAAATAGATTCAAATGTATCAAAATATAAACGGTAGATTTTTTTGATATATGGATTAATCCCCGCGATAAAAGGTAGCTTTTGCAAAGCTTTGACACGACGAGCAAGACGAACAGGAAGTTCGGATTTAGTATACCTTGCCGAATCAAGAAGTGCATGAGTACTAAGAGGAGGTTTTCCAAATTGAAGTAATTGTTTGAGGGTGACTGGCTTGATTGGTTGTTCAGCATACTAATAATTAGAACAAAAACGTTAAAATGCCTTTTTTTAAAATTTAATTCAAGAAAATAATTTTTCATGTTGAAATTACATTGGCAACTTTGTCATCGTAAAAAGAGACCACCTCTTGTGTTGATGTATGCATTCTTTTCTGATGAAATATATTGCTTCTTATGCATTTTGAGATTCTCAGTTGGGGGATTAATTCACTGCTGATTTTGCTTGATTTGATTGCAATCATGAAAACCAAAAGTCAAGACGATTATCTACATACGTATAAATATGCAGTACTGACTGTCATTACACACGCAAACTCGTGACTCGAAAAAACTATTTTTTAAAAAAAACATTAGTAAAATAAAGATTATATTTCAATTAAATTAATTAAATAAACTAAGCATATTATTACTAAGGTTGTTTATTTTTCTATTAAAAATTTTATAATTTATTATAATAATAATATATAATATGTCTATTTAAAAATTTACAAAAAAAAAAAATCATTTGGTTACTGTAAGCAAGCTAATATTTAACTTATTGTATTAACATATGAGAAATGTTGTTTCTTTCACAATATATATTTGATCATATACAAATCAAAAAGTTTATCTACAAAAAAAAAATTTACAAAAAATTTTAATATACATGTATATAGTTTGTCCAAAAAGTTTTTAAACAAATTTTTAATTTATAATTTTATTTATAAATTAATAATTAATTAAAAAAATAAAAATTTATTAAAATTTATTAATTAAATTATAATAAATAAATAAATAAACTATTTATAATAATTTTAGTACATTAATTTGTAAAATAAAAAAAAATAATTAAAAATAACTTATTAAATTTTAAGTTGTTTAATTAATCTTTTAATTAAACAAATTAATTAAAATTTAATACAAAATACAAAATTTTTATTAAATAATATATAAACTAATTTTTGTAAAAATAATTTATACATTATAAAAAAAACATTCTTATAATTTTTTTTAAAAAACTTTATATACTAAAAATCATTTTTCCATTTATAATTTATCTATAAATTTATATAAAACCCAAATTTTAAAATAAATTTATTAATAAAATATTTTTTTTTTTTGATGTTAAGGTGAGACACTTCTCATGATCTTTATTGATAGAGTAAATATGTAATGTTACATGATCA